GGTGGGGGAGGGGGTGGATTTCCTCCCGGTGGCCCCTCTCAGTTCAATATGCCACCAAACTTCAGTCCACCCATGCATCCTGGGCCAGGATTCAATTCCATGTTGTCTTCGGGAGTTATGGGCGGTCCTGGAGGAGGAGGGCCACCTCACCCTCGTTTTGGCATGCCTCCGCCGCAACAGCACGGACAGGGTGGGCACCCATTCAATAGCCCTCCGTTACCTGGGGGTGGGGGCCCACGAGGGCCCTTGCCTCCAATGGGAGGAGGCATGGGTCCTGGGATGAACATGATGGGAGGCATGGGTGGTGGGCCTGGTAGCAACATGGTTGGAGGGGGGATGCCAGGTATGCCTCCTCAAGGACAGTTCCCTCCCTCACAGGATGGCCCCTATCCTGGCCCTAGTCCACCAGGGCCGGGCAGCGAGGATGGAAAAGGTTTTGGGGGAGGAGGGGGCCCTCCTGGACCGCCACAACAGCAACAACAGCAGCAGCAGCTTAATCTAAATCCCAATGGCCCCCCCAATAATAACAATACACCTGGCCCTCCTCCTAACTCAGGGCCACCACAGCCTGGGGGAGGCTTCCCTGGCCATATTGATGTCCAGCAGCCCAGTACCAATACACCAGGTCAGCCCCCATCCGCACCACCACAGCCTAACCCCAACTCTTCTCCTACCGGTCCCCTGAATGGATCAGGTCAGCCCCAGCATCCACAGTCCAGTCAGCTGCAGCCCCCCAGCAACGCAAACACCCCCAACTCTAACAGTTCAAACCAGCAGCAACAATCAACTCCACCCAACTCCACCCCCGGCTCCACCTCCTACAACCAACAGAACAACACTCCCGGTTCTGCCGGTCCCCTGTCAAACGCCGCCTCCAATTCATGTCCGAACAACATCAACAACAACAGCGGAGGCAACACTCCTGGAAGCAACCCCAACCCCCCGTCTAACTCCACCTCCACGCCGAACACTCAGTCTCCCCTGCCTCCCGGCCCCGCCGCCCCTACAACTGGGCCCGGTTCTGGTCCCGGAAAACTCGGCGGTCCTGGGATGGTCTTTCCCTGCGGCCTCTGTATGGCCGAAGTGCACGACGACCAGGACGCCATCCTTTGTGAAGCCTCCTGCCAGCGCTGGTTCCACCGTGACTGCACGGGCCTTACGGAACCGGCCTACGGGCTGCTGACTCGAGAGAGCGCCGCCGTTTGGGCTTGTGACTTATGCATCAAGACCAAGGACATCCAGGCTGTGTTTGTGCGCCAGGGACTAGGCCAGCTGGTGGCAGCTAATGAGAGTTGAGGAGTGGAGGAGAAGGAGCGCAATCGAGGTGAACGACCTGTGTGCCATGTCAGCTCCCTGCCCAACGTAGTCCTGGCCAGCCTTTTACTTGTTCACTACACAAAGCGACACACTCATTAGCTGCGTTTCCATTGACCATGAAAATGCGCAAATTAGAATTTCGAAAATAAATTTGCTCAATGGAAACACGTCGATTTCGAAAAAAATTACGTTYTTCGACGAAATGTTTTTGCGCTAAGATGAAGTGGTATTTCGGCCATATCGAAATTGGTGTTTTTCACAAAACTGCAATGGAAACACTTTTTTCACATCACGGGAGTCACGTGACCACAACCGGCTGTTTCTACTGGTGAAAAAGACGCTGACGTCTCCTCTGATGCTGTGCGCTAGTGTCGCGGTAGCAATATGCTATGTGTTTACATCCATTGCCGCCATGTTTGTAATGACTTATCGCGAGAACAAACGTATTCACGCGTGACTTTAACAGCATTTCTTACTTAATTGAAACACCGCAGTTGCGAAACTGTTTTTTGACATTAACAGAATATCGACAAAGTTTTGCGCACATTTGCAATGGAAACGCAGCTACAGACTCTCATGCTTATTACATAGCACTTTGGGTGACTCTAGGCAAATTATAGTTCTCCCCCTTATCCCTCATTGGAGTCAAATTATGATGAATGTTATCTACACAGTCCTCCAGATATCCACCTGCCAACCAGCAAAGCACTGACACCAACACACTACCTCAAACAGTTTGCGACTGACTGGCACAGAAGCTCCCGCACTGACTTATCGACTCTCCACACTTAAATCACACAATATGTCCAACATGAATTCCGATCAGGTGGGGAAACCTTATAAATCAACTTTATACTGATAAGAAATTGAAAAAAATAAAATAAAATCAGAATATTTGAAATGGTCTCCCACATCAATTCAGTTATTCTTTTTTCTTTTAATACCAAAATGCTTCAATCCACCACTGCCCTATCACGTTGTTGGCCTTTTACTGCAAGCGAAGAAAAAAAATTGGATACTCTATCAATGTATTGCAGTATAAAACTGTCAGTATTAGGTGTATTGTTGTGAGATTTTACGGTTCGTGCACCTCCACATATGCTTACGCGCTTTAACTCTACTTATTGTATCATTTTGTGTCCAGCTCTGATGAATCCAAAGGAGATTTCGATTTCATCTACATTTCACAGTCTCACCACCAAAAAATAATAATAATAAAAAAATGTAAATATCAAAGGACAAAACATTTGTCTAGAATTCCCATCACTTGTGAACATGTCGCAGAGTTAATCGGTGAACAAAAAGATGAGTTGAATTTGTGTCTTGGTTGTTTACATGGTGTTTTGGTTTTTATACAGTACATTTGAGTCAAACTTTTAACTTTTTTTTCTTTTTTTTTTACCTGCAGTAAACATGAATTGTACAAACAGTGCTTTTGGATGGTGTTGGCATAGCGAGTAGTGACATCATATCAGATGTGCATAGTCCTTTAAAAAACGAAAATAGTGGAGGGATATGCATGTGACCTGATGCAGTAACTGTTTGATCTGTTTATTTTCAAGTTTCTGCACAGCAGGAGACCTTGAAGTAGACCAAATAACTAAAGATTAGAGGGGGGAAATACAGTTTTTTTTACGTTTCTCTTACGGTATAAGGTGTTTTTAACTATTCTTCTTCTCCTTTGTTCTTATTTTTTTCTTTATTCAATGTCCAAGTTGCCTTTTTTTCCTCAGTCGTTCTGTTTGGTTTTGTACTGGTATTTGTGCTGTGTTCTTGCTCTGCTCTGGTGCCTCCTGGTGGAACCAGCGAGTCCCACACCAGGTAGAGAAAGGAAAAGGTACTAAACTCTGAAGTAAATACAGTTTTTATGTTCTCTTGTCCAAGTCTGTTTTTATCACAATATATATATTTTTTTATTTGTTTGCTAATTGTTGTATTAAAACGAGGGTTGGAAAACCCAATGGTTCACAGTTTTTTTTCTCATAATTCTAACAAATTCTAGTCTTTTTTTTTTAATCAGTTCATTGACAACCTTTTAATTTAATAAATCATAATGGTTTTAACAAATATGATTGTAAAATGATACATTTTAATGTAAATATAGAAACAAAGTATTTAAAATGAGTTTTAAGTCTCCTAAAAAGATATTTTGGGTAAATTGAAATGTTTATTGAAAGTTTAAGTTAAAGGTATTCATTTATTTTTAAAATGTAAAATTACTGATAAAAATAAATTTCAGAATTTTGCAAACTAGTATTTCATGTGTTTATATAAAACTTAAGTCATTAAAATTTTCTATATTTTATTAAAAGTACATTTTTTTCAACTCTACTTAATTTGATGTAGAAATGCACACCAAACAACCTATGGGTAACAAAATAATGTGCACAAAAATGGGTTTTCTCTTTGAATTTTTAATACAATCCCCCTAAAGTTGACTGTTTTCTCATTCTTTCTCCACCTGCATTATGCTGAAATAGATGATGCTGCCATGCAAAATGTTTCCCTTCTGATAACACMGCTGAACACAGTGGCTGTATTGTGCTTAAGCCCCGCCTCCTCCGGAGGGCTTCTCCCGTCGCTGAGGCGGGGCGACGCCTGTCCGACGTGTTGGCAACAGGTTCCACCGGTAGCGAGAAATGGGGGGGGGGTGAATTTTCTCCTCGCCCCCCATCAGCTCATTGGATCTCATGTCCTCATCCTCTCAACATGTCCGGACTTTCTGCCGCTTTACGGACCGAGAAATGCCGAACAAGTGAGTGAGGAGCAGCTGAATCTGGACCGTCTTCGGCAGGTGCAGTAACTACTTCGTCCATTAAAGTGAGGGGAGAAATGAGTGAGTGATGCAGAGCGCCTGGTTTTAGCTGAGAGGACATTTCGCAGATACGCAGTGGTGTAAACACCTGTGGCTTCGTGGTGGGACCTTCTAATGGCCGCTTTTCTGGGTCTTTAACGGGTTTAAATGTAGCCTTGTTTCTCTGCGCGCGCGCGCGCTGCTCTATAATCGGATCTAAGAGGATACACGGTGTTCATGTGGCAGGTGAACGCGTGTGTGCGCGCGCACGCTTCAGGTGTTTGGATAAATGTTGACTGCTGTAAACAAATCCGAGGTTTCGACGCGCACCGATACCGACTGACCGGACAGGTGGGTGTGACGTAATTAACGCAGGTGCTCCACGATTAACTCCACGTATCCATCTTTTTTTTTTTCTTCACGTTTTAATTATTTACTCGTGGTTAATTTATGCCAGGTCTTGCCGGGTTTTTGTTGTGGTTACCCGCAGCCTATTTGTTTAGGCTCAGGTGGAATTATGTCAACTTCACGTGACGAGCTCAAAACCAAATAAACAACTTTCATTAAGTTGACTTTTTGGTAGGGAGAAGGTAAATGACCTCAAATTAATTATCAGGATTGTAAGTTTCTGATGATTTCTACCACTTCCCTGTCTGTTTTTGGGTAAAAATAAAAGAAGTAATTGCTCTAGACATAAATATTGTACATTTAAAGCTTATTTTGAAGCATATTACATTCGCCTTTCTTACCAAACATGCTATTTTTGACCAAATAAAAATGATCCCTTTTTATACATTTACTAATAATTCATGCGATTCRTTCTGTCAAACAGCACAGTCTTTGTTCACTTCAGTAAAATTTGTAGGATGTTTAGTTATATAAACAAATACAACTATAATTGCTAATATGCATAAACATTGATTTTTTTGTATGTTTTTAGAGCTTTAACCAGTTTTTATTGAAATGATGAGCAATAAAGTTTTAGTTCAGGTGTGTGTTTGTAGTGTTAGCAAATTCAGAATCAGTGATGTTGGGTTTTAATAAAACCTTCAGAAAGTAATTTGTGGATGAGCATCTACAACTGATTGACTTTTGGAGTCAGCTAAAATCAGAATTGCCACATAGCAATTTAAGCGAACCAGGTTTCCTGGAGTTTCATAATGAGACTTGGAAAACTGTTTCTTCTGAATTTATTTTGCAATTACGTTATGTAATTGTATTAATTTTCATCATTTTAGTCTTGAAAAACACCAGAGTTTGGACATACCTTTTTATTTGTTGTCATCCCGACGACATCGTTTTACTCAAGTAACCTTTGTACAAAATACTTTTTTACTCTTGAGTAATTCCTTGGGTGGCTAATTCTTACTTTTAAAAYATGCTGWATTAGTGRTACTCKTACTTGAGTACAACCTTGGGTACTATACTCAGCTCTGATTAAATATCTGGAGTTGATCGTTTAGATATTAGTTGACCTGGTCACAGGTGTCAGGGTGGTCTCCTTCTCCAGTCCCTCTGATTGTRAAGGTGGGCTGCTCTACGTAGATTTCCACATGTTGCCGTATTCCTTCCATTTCGTCATGACGRCTTTAACGGAGCTCCTGGGATATTGATGGGCTTGGAAATCCTTYTGGATCCACCCTGACTTGTTAAATTAGGACAGTCACTTTTAAAAGAGGTGAATATTTATACAATCACTTATTTTACAATACATATTTTTATTTTATTGGTATTACTCTAGAAATTTGCTTTCACTTTGACATTGAAGATTTTTTTGTTTTGTTTTTGTTTTGAACAGAAGGCCAAGTTATATTGCCCATGATTGATTTATGACAACAGTAAAAGCGTAAAACATCCAGGGGGGGTGAATACATTTATGGACACTGCGACTGAGACGAGCCGGTCTGTCGAGGAGAACGAGGACAAGTGATGGCTGATTGGCCAGTTCGGTGACATTCCAGTCTTTGTTGACTCAGCCCGTCCTTGTAACAAGTGAGAGAAACGGCGTGAAAGTCAAACGAGGTGTCACTGAGCCGTGAACAGCTAGTCCCAATAACAGCCGAGTCAATGTTTAAAATCTGTATTTACCAAAGGAACATCTCAGAGTTGGACTGGGTTCAGTGTCTCATTTTCCCTCCATTTCCTCTTAATCTGTTTTATCCAAACTCCTATCACGTGTGATGCTGACAAAGAATGTCTGGAATCCTAAAAATGTTTTTGACCAAGACCATGGCCTGACTTTGATCCTCTGACCTTGGGTCTGTTACACTATAACTAGCGGTGAAGCAAATGGTTATATTTTAATTCCCAACAGAGTCACAGCTCTGACTGCTGAAGGTGAGGACAAATGATCGAGTACACCGCAGGTGTGTAATGTGCACATTCTCGCATCTCATGCTCGAGTAGGCGAGGCTGTGTGTCTGTCCAGCTCAGAGTCAACAGTCCACGGCTCGTTGGTCCGGCTCTGAGGACCGATACCAGCAGGAAGAGGGGCATCCCAGACCTGACTCAGTCCTTGGTGTCCAATGCTCCACAGAACCGGGACAATGGGTGGAGTAATCCCCCCTCTCAGGTTCATTACAAAGCAAATTAGACATGCGTGGCTTAGACTCTTTATATGGTAGAGTTTGTGAAAGAAAAAGTCTGTAAAATCAGAGGTTGGTGATGATCAAATAGTCAGCCAAGTTAAAAATACTTAATTGTCCCAGACGAGACGTTTATAGTTTTTCTTTTGGTTGGATGCCCAAATCCCTTTTGTGTAAAAGCTTTTAACCACTCGTGTTATTTATTCTTGTGAATGAGCCAGACTTTAATGTGAACAGTCGTCAGAAATAGTTCTTCATCCTTAAACCTCACCACAACAGCAGTTTGTGCCATTAAAAAAATCCAGAGAAAAGCTGTTAAAAACCTTTTTATGAAGCTTGAAAACAAAGCAATAAATTCTGTTTTTTAAAATAATATTTAAAAGCTTGGTACTTTTAGAAGTAAATTATTATAAATAAAGGATAACTTGAGAATTCAACACACTTAAAATATCAGGTATCTTCAAGGAGGTTCTATAGAGCTGGAGTGTGCAGAAACCAGGTGACCATGTGATCGGCTGGTGAAGCTAACTAACGCAAAATGGTCAAGAGTCTGGATTTCCCATTACTGTCCATGTTGACAACAGAGCAGAAAAAAAGGATTGATGATGTAGAAATCACAAAAACTATTAATAAT